CCTCCTTGGGTTTCCGAGGCAGTATCACTACGGAAGTAGGATTGCCCAACCTTCCTTCCGAGGAGTGGCTGGTGGGTTTGAACCTCCAGCCTTAGCAGTCAAGTAGGGACTCATAATCATTAACCCGCCACACCCACAGTCCCCTGGGCCCTGCCCTCTGCCCTCACAGGCAAAGCACTCTTCTCGCCCTTCTGGGATTGGCTTCTGAAAGATCACTCCAGCTCCTGTGTGGAGAAGGGCAGTGAGAATTATTGACAATTGAGGTCTGCACTACTGCAGGTCCTTGTTGTTAGGTGCAGTCCAATCATCTCCGACTCATAGCGACAGAATGAAACACTGCCCTGCACCATCCTCACAATCATTGGCATGCTTGTTGCAGCCATCTTCTCAGTCCATCTCATTGAGGGTTTTGCTGTTTTTTTGTTGACCCTCTACCAAGCATGATGGCCTTCTCCAGAGATTGGTCCCTCCTTATAATATGTCGAAAGTACATGAGATGAAATCTCACCATCCTTGCTTGCAAGGAGCATTTTGGCTCTACTTTCTCCAAAATAGATTTGCTCATTCTTCTATATTCTTCACCAACACCATATTCAAGTGCATCAAGTCTTCTTCAGTCTTCCTTATTCTTTGTCCAGCTTTCACATGTATATGAGGCAATTGAAAATACCATGGCTTGGGTCAGGCACATCTTAGGCCTTAAAGGGACCGTTTTGGTTTTTAATTAAAGAAGTCTTCTGCAGCAGGTTTGCCAACTGCAATATGTCCTCTGATTTCTTGGCTGCTGCTTCCATGGGCATTGATCGTGGATTCAAGTGAAATGAAATCCTTGAGAACTTCAATCTTTTCTCCATTTATCATGATGTTGCTTATTGGTCCAGTTATAAGGATTTTTGTTTTCTTTATATTGAGTTGTAATCCATACTGAAGACTGTAGTCTTCTATTTTCCAGACTAAGGCAGACTCAGAAGAAGGACGGGACCATCCACTTCTCAAAGAATTGGCCAGTGAAAACCTTATGAATAGCAGTGAAACACTGTTATGTATTATGAATAGCCCTGAAACATTGTCGGATATAATGCCAGAAAATGAGCCCCTCATGTCAGAAGATGCTCCAAATACGACTGAGAAAGAGCTGCCTCTTCAGAGTAGAGCTGACCTTAAAGATGTGGATGGGGTAAAGCTTTCAGGACCTCCATTTGCTGATGTGGCATAACTCAAAATGTGAAGAAACAGCTGCAACCATCTGTTAATAATCGGAACATGGAATGCATGAAGTATGAATCTAGGAAAATTGGAAGTTGTCAAAAAATGAAATGGAATGCATAAAGATCGATAGCCTAGGTATTAATGAGCTGAAATGGACTGGTTTGGGCCATTTTGAATCAGACAACCATATGATCTACTATGCTGGGAATGACAAATTGAAGAGGAATGGTGTGGCATTCATTGTCACACAGAATGTTTCAAGATCTTTCCTGAAGTATAATGATATCAGTGATAGGATAATATCCACACACCTACAAGGAAGACCAGTTAATACTATGATTATTCAAATTTATGCAGCAAACACCAAAGCCAAAGGCAAGGTAATTGAAGATTTTTGCCAACTTCTGCAGTCTGACATTGACCAAACATGTGATCAAGATGAGTTGATTATCACTGGTGACTGGAATGCAAAAGTTGGAAATAAAGAAGAGTCACCAGTAGTTGGAAAATATGGCTTTGGTGATTGAATTAATGCTGGAGATCGCATGATAGAATTTTGCAAGACCAACAATTTATTCCTTGCAAATACCATTTTTCAACAACACAAACAACAGCTATACACGTGGTCTTTGCCAGATGGAGTACACAGGAATCAAATTGACTACATCTGTGGCAAGAGGTGATGGAGAAGCTCAATTAGCTTCAGCCAAAACAAGGTCAGGAGCTGACTGTGGAACAATCACCAATTAAATATAAACACAAAAATGTCACAATGCCTTGGAGCCAACAGAGGATCACAGTGCACACAAAGAAGCAAGATAAAGCAGGAGAAATAAGGGACCAGGATATAGACCCAAAACACATCCCTGAGGAATAAGGAGCATTGGAACTCCCTGATAAGAAATTCAAAATAATTTATTTAGGTATTGTGGTTTAGTAAATTACACAGTGTGGCTTTTCTAGCCATAAGTCTGTGTGAACTCCATGTTGGAACTGCCCATGAGCAACCAAGTAGCTACTGATTGTTAGTTATCCACCTGGGGTATTTCTGTTGGGAACAGCATAAAGTAATTCTCTGGGAAGTTCTCTCTCTCTCAGGTGTATGGAATTCTGATATTGGAATTGGTTAGTTTGGCCACTCTGCCAGGCTCAAAAGGAGGCCTCCTAGAGGCAGAAGAAGTCTCTCTGACTGCTAGCTGAGAAAGATGTGCTGCTGAGAGAAACGTGCTCCTGAGAGACATGCATTGCTGAGACAGAGATGCAAGAGACACACATTGCTGAGAGAGATACTGAGAGACACGCACTGCTGGGAGAGAGACTCTGAGAGACTGTTGGCTGAGAGACGGCAGGCTGAGAGAGACTGAGTGTGTTCTGAACTTCAATTGTAGCCTGTTGCTCCCCTAATAAACCCCATAATATGTGAGTTCTGTATGGCCACTGCAGCAAATTATCAAACCCAGCAGAGAGGTGGTGGGTGGTGTGAGAGGAAAGGTTGGTGTCAGGGCTGATAAAAGGGCTGTAGGGAGGCAGCAACAAATTCATACTCGTCAATAATTACATATCTGACAAGAGACTTACCTCTTAAGATTTATAGAAAACTCTAACGTCTCAAAAGCAAAGGAATTAACAATCCAATTGAAAAATGGGCAGAAGACATGAATAGACACTTCACCAAGGAAGATATGGCCTTGGGCTGCTGATGGTGATTCTGTCTTCCTCTTGTGGGGTTAGAGGAGGTCAGAAGATGCAGCCTCCGTGCCCTTTTGGCAGGTACTTTCAACGAACTGAGAGACAGATCAAGGAAAACACTGACAAAATTGAGGAAAACAGAAAACCCTGAGACAGTTTTAAAAGCCAATACAAGACCAAATTGACAAAATAAATGAAAAATTAGAAATGATACAAAATCTACAGACAAAAATCCAGAATGTTGTTGTTAAGTGCCGTCGAGTCGTTTCCGACTCATAGCGACCCCATGCACAGCAGAACGAAACACTGCCCGATCCCGCAC